TGATCGACAAAGTATACTATAGTAATTGCTTCGACCATTACTTAATTATAAACTAAACTATTATAAGGTTACACAGCCGAAAGTCTAATTGCTAACTTTGTTACGTTATTTTGCGTAACATTACCTGATAACTGTAAACCTACTTCGCGGGCAATAACTGTTTATTTCACGGTTCTTTCTCAGCTTTTTCGTTTCTTTCCTTTTTTTTTTACTGGGTGATTTTGACAATGGATTAAAAAAAAGTCGTTATGATATATGCATTAAAAAAAAAAAAAGAAAAAGATATATAATCAAAAAAGGAAATATAAAGATTCCGGATCAGCCCAAACTCAATATCTGGACAATAAATGTTGAAATACCGTGATATAGTACGTATCAATATGAATAACAAGATCAATAGTAACTACCGGATAAGTTTTATTAAAAGAGGCAATTTACGTACGTACGACCTTTATAACTCCATTAACGTTCCAACAATGAATTCCCTTATTAATATTATACAATCGTAACGTTATGCATGACAATGTTGCGAAGATATTGCTGTACAAAAATGAGGTCGGTTAAAGCGGAGTTAATTCAAAATATGGTCAACATACTGTATAATACAGTATATCTACATCAAAAAAAGTAACCCCAATCCAGAAATGGAAGGCATCAAATTATTCCAATAAATAAGCAAATATAGAAATGAGATTCGAAGTACAGAAGTACACAGGTATTAAATCGGGCTCCTATACGTAAGTCAGTGTTGGGATTTCGAACTTGTCATTTACTCGAATTTGTCATTTATACAAAATGATTATTTGTACTAAATAAAGAAATATAAAGCGAGTTATTTATGCAACAAATAAATTTGCGAATCATATTTTGTCAAGCATGTGCTCAGTTCTCATTTCTCGAAGAATCTCGGACGAAGAAGTATAGCAATATTAGGAAATAAAATAAACGATTACAGCATGCCATGTGAAATAACGTTTCGTATCTTTCTAATTGAGATTCTTCCGTATGCTAGCGCATATATTCAACGAGTTGATCTTGTGCCCTAACTGCCTGTAGCTTAAATAACGCTTATAATGTATTTGTCGTAATTTAATACTAAAATGTTTGAACATGACTATTCTAATAAATATTAAGAAGAATCGTTAAAATATACGTATCAGAAATGACTTTTGTTAATTTTCAAGTTTTTACAATGGCTTGTAGACAAACCAAATAAAAAACTGGTTCTCAGCTATAACAATAGCAATAGCGTTCGTGTGTACATACTTATATAACAATAGCAGTGATGCCACTGAGTGTGACATACTGTTACCTCTTTTATATTGTATGATACTAAAAGTTTACTCAAATAATCTAATAGGCCGAGCTCTCACAACTGTACCACAATATAAACAATATAACGTCAACCGTTACCTATAAAAAGTTAAAATCCGTGTTTCATATTCCATGTTTTATCGTAAATATTGCATATTTATGGAATTTATACCTTCAAATGACGGGAATTATTCGGTCTACCACATCATGTTGCAGATTCACGGAGTTTTTACAGAAGTTAAGAAAATAAAATGGAAATATCCATATAGATTTTTTTACAGTGTTGTAATACAATCTACATGAAAGAAGCTAAGAATGGTATTTACTATACTTTCTATTTCTAAACAAGCTTACCAGAATTTTTCCATATCGATAAACTGCTTCTAATTAGTTGTCTCTTGCTTCGATAAAATTATATAAGGACCCGAAATTCTACTTGCCCATTTTCAATTCAGCACTAAACATTCAGAAAAAGATTATTTAATAAATCTAATGATCATAATTCTTTGATAACTTAAAATTTCTCAATAAACAGATTTCGATTTATAATTTCAATTAACCATGTATGGTCTTATTTTATCTCAATTATTTGTTTATCCTCTCACTGGCTCACAAATTGTTCCGGTAAATAAGACAATTACATCAATTCCTTATATTCCTCCTGAAATCATTCGTATGATTTTTAATTTATTAAGGGATGATAAGAAAACTCTCGCTGCTTGTGCTTTAGTTAATCACACTTTTAACCTTCATGCTACTCCTATTTTATATAATACTGTCTCGTTTACTTTTCCTCATACGTTTACACTTTTTGCTAATGCCACAAATGATATTAAAATGCGTTGTTCACAAATGGTTCGCCACTTAGATCTTTCCAGTTTTTTCTATCTGTGGCTTGCAAAAAAGTTCTCTTGAAACCCAAAAAGTTGTTACGCCAGATCTTTTAATTCATATTTTAAGATCCTTTCCAGAATTAAAAGCCTTTTCCATAACAGAATCTTTGGAATCTGTAATTACTCTTGACGTTTTAAAAGTTCTATTTTTAGAATGTAAAAACATCAAAATCATCGATTTTTGTGGATGCGCTAGTAAAGAATTTAGTAAAACTCTAGAAGAATTCACTAACCTAATCGGTAGAGTTAGAATAGAACAATTTTATGATGATGATGAGACAACAATTGCTTTTTGCATGACATGCAACCCTTTATTATCTCATTTACAAAGAGTTTCATTTCATGAATGCCCTGTAATTTCTGAATATTCAACCATTATACCTCTTCTCGCTCATGCTCCAAATCTTACTCATCTTGATTTGGGTGGCTGTTCTATCAGCGACCTAACATTGAATTTTTTGGCTGGAACAAATGCACCAAATAAACTATCTCATCTTTTGTTAGCTAAATGTAAAAATATTTCATCCAATGCTATTTCATCTTTTATCTCTAAATGTTCTCAATTGAAAACACTTAATCT